CCAAGTCTCTGTGATTCCTATTATATCAAATTGTTCTTCTTTTGCGAATGTTGTGAGTGCGATTTGCTTATTTTCTTTGTTTATACCTCTAATGTTGATTGTACCGATTTTCCATTTATTTGCTGTATTGTTGTTGGTGTTTGGTATGTTGGGAGATTAAGCGATTGGGGAAGGTGTATGGGTGGTGTGTTGAAGTTGTTGTTTATGTTCATTCCTGTCCTCTTGGGGAGTTTTCCTGTTTTTCCCTCTGTCATATTATTGGGATACGTTGAGGACTAGGGCACTGTCCTGTTGTGTGAGTTTGAACAAGCTAATGGCTTCCTCCATAGTGAAGCTCATTTTATTGAGTTGTTTTTGGTATATCTCTTGTGACGCTTTGATGTCCTGAATGCTGATTTCTGGGGTACCTACTGGCGTAAGCTTGTTTGTTGCTGGGTCTTTCTCTAGTTCTTCCATGAGTTCATCTATATTCTCTAGGTATCTGTTGGCGCATTCTTGTTCTAGCGCATCAACTCTTTCATTTAAATCTTGGAGGGATTTCTTGACTTCTCGGAGTTCATGTTGGTGTGAAAGGAGTAGTGCATACAGGTCTCACTCTGCAGGGTGGTCTCTCGTGTTTCCTCCGAACTTGACAATATTGGCATAGCTTCTGGGATTGTTGATGTGGCTTGAGCCTTGTTGTCTTCAGTTCGTGGGAGATGTGGTATTGTTCCTTGGGAGAGATCTTGGGTTATTGGAGCAGTTGATGTATTGCCTTGTTGATGTAGTTTCTGGTTTTTTTGGACAAGAGTGCAGGTTGTGTTCCGGAGAACTGCAGATGGAACAGAGTCTAGTTTCTCGGTCAACCCACTGTGTTTGGGCTTCACTGATTAGAGGTGTAGTTGACTTAGCTGCTTGAAGTTCTTCTTGTGTTTTGAAGATGAAGATGGCTAGTCTTTTTGCCTGATTGTTGTTGTTCCGAGGGATATAACATGATTTTGCTTTCGTGCTAGTGATTATTACGCTAGGTCTGAGGCTGTGGTGTTCTTGAGGAGTTTAGCAAGAGTTGCGCTGAATCGTTCTCTTTCTTGTTTGACTTCGTATGTTCAGTAGAAGGGAAAAATCCTGCAGGAGTGGAATCCGCGTCCTATACTCCATTCTCGGCTAATTTCCACATAGTCTGATGTGTTCGTGAACGTAATGTTGGCTGACTGGAAGGGACCTGCTCTTTGAATAGTGATGTAGTCAATACCAATTTGGTTATCGAAGAAGTCTACTAGATCTGTTTTGGTGAAGTGTTGGGGGATGTCCCATACTCTAATGGTGTGGGACTTGCTATCATGTAAGTCTAGATGTGCAATCCTTCTGAATTTGGTAGCTTCATTGTCTGTAATAGTGATCTCACATGCCTTGTCCAGATCCTCCTGATTAGTCATGATGATTGCTATTTTGGGATAACCGGTTAGGGCTTCGTATCATACATGTTTCAGAGACTGGAGATGTCCCATTTTTTGTCTAATGGATTCGATTTTTTCTGCAGGTGTTTGTCCTGGTACCAGCTCCGGGTTCAAAACGGCTTTGCCTGGTGTGAGTGAGGCCCGGTATTCTTGTGCTTCCCTTGGGTTCTTCCTTTCAGTCTGTCTGTCTTGGTCATAGCTATATCTTGCTTGACTGGTTATATTGGGCTGGTGATCTGAAGTTTGTTGTTCTGTTGTGGTTTGGCTTTCCAATTTACACATTGTGGTGGAGGATGGTGACCTGTCTGTCCGGGGTGTCATTGCCGAGGGGATTGTCTGGCTTGTGTTCTCTGTCTTTATCTCTACTTCATTGACTACTGGGGGCTCACTTGTTTTGCCTGGTTCTGTTACTTGGATTGTTTCTTTTCCTTTCTCAAGCGTCTTCTTAGTGATTGCTGTTCTGGTTCCGAGAGGAGTGTGCCTGAGCTGTGCTGTTGGGATTGTCATTTTAGGTTTAAGGATTCTACCGTTGTTCTTGCTGATTCTGTCAATATTATATTCTGGTGTCGTTTGTCTTTCTTTGCTTCTGAGTTACCTGGTGGAGGCTATCTTTGCTTATGTGCTACTATGTAGCTAGGACGAGTTCGTTCTTAGTTTTTGCCTTATAAGGAAATTTTTTATGTTTTCGAGATTTTTTGGGAAAGAGTTCTTTAGATTGTTATATTTTACTTTATATATATATATATATATTTAAGAATTTTTTATTTAAAAAGTTAATAATAAGAAACCTATTTAATAAGAAAAAATCAAATAAAAAATACTTATTTTTTCTTTTCTATAAAGGTTTCAAGATTTAAGAATAAGTTAAAAT